TATACATTAATTACAAAACTCAAAAACAAAAGAACTATCGCAATACGAAAACAATAAAACCAATCCTCAACAACGACACCATTTTGTTGTAGCGGTATATTGATAAACAAAAAGTAAAGTATCATTTTTATCGGGTGATATTTAGGTTATATCGTATCGTGTCCACATAGATTGGTTATTGAATCGTTGTTCAACAAATCATTCGTTAATGAGTTTGGGGATAAATGGGTTGAAAGGAAAAAGTATCAACAGAAAATAAATATAAACAAAAGAAAAAACTAAGAAGGAACTTATCAAGCCTGCATATAATCTACTAATCACAAACTTAAATCTACTGACCAATTACATTCAACCTAAGAATAATCATCAATGTCACTACGTATCACTCACAACCTAAGTCATTTCTAATCCAAATTGAGATACCGATTGTATCACCAAGGAAATGATCTCTCTACCTCCTCAACAACATAGAAGACAATTATGTAAGCGCACTGACGATCTCTCAGCATAACACAATCATACAAAGACATTAAGCTCTGATACCCAAGTAGATGTCAGCTCTAAATCTATCTCTATAGTTCAGAAACTACAAATAATCATCCTAGATAAGAATCTAAGCAATATATGTCTATAACAATTCAAATTCCTAGCACATAGCAAAAATCCAGGACAACAATCGATAAAGATTTGTAAAGTAAGCTTTATATAACGCCATGGGCGACAAATATAATCGAGTTCAAAGTAAATATACATACAATATCCAACAAAAGAGAAATACATAGATAGGAGAAGAGATAAACCACAAATATCCTGGTTTGTCAGCTCCGGTCAATGAGAAATCCACCTCAAATCATCCATAAGCAAAATCCTAGTATTGTTATCTAAGATAATCCACTACAAAAATGGGGTTGATGGAGTTGGGAGAACATAAATCACTCCCAAAACCATCACTCTCCAAATGAAATGAAAAGGAAAATATAACAAAATTTTGTTCCGCACGCATCGTCCAACGACACAAACAAATTGCCCGGTGATGACTTCTATATACTTGGCCCAGACTGTGCCACATCCTCAACTGATCAAAAATATCTACCATCGCTCGGCGACACAAACTTTGCACAACGACTCTATTTATTTTTGCCTGGCGACCTAGACGAGAAGCAAGGCAGAGGCAACATCAAAATTAGCTCTTCTCGCCCATTGTCGCCCGACGACAGGAATTTCTCCTAGCGATGCATGACAGTTCAACAACTTTTGTTGCTCCCACTGCATAACTTCATATGGCCTCCACTTGGTCTTCTTCCTTTATTGATCTAAAAATGCATCTTGGAGCTTTATTCCTCTTGATCCAACAATGCTCAAATACCTATAAAACATATACAAAACTAATCAACCGATACAATATGTATACAAAACACAATTAAATGTATTTACAACAAAAATGGGGTTATTCAACGATATTAACAACAAAAAGTTGATAAGTGCAATAAAAAGTAGATACAAAAATAACTATAATTTTGCACTTGTCAGTAGTGATTAAATGAGAAGTTGTAAACATGGAAATTTAGCTTTGATTTGATACTATCATAGTGGACTTGTCCCTGGCTTGGTATGCCCCTAGAGTAGGAGAGTTGTTGCGAACTGGGTTAACAATTCTGGTGTGTTGTTTATGCTTTTCAGTACTGTTTTTATTGATTATATCTTGCTTGTGTATTTTAAGTCAGATCAGATGTTCCAACCTGTCATAGGACATCTGAAGTATGATATACCAGAATTTCATATATATATATATATATATATATATATATATATATATATATATATATATATATATATATATATATATATATATATATATATATATATATATATAAAGTCATATTAGATATGAAAAAAATAAAAATCATTAATATATTAAAATATAACACACACTTAAGCGTCAAATTTTGAGTAAAATCTCTCTTAAGCAGTTTTTAATCATATTTTTTTCCTTCTTTTTAATAAGTGTTATTTAATATATCAATTAATATTTAATATTAATTACTTCAGTTCATTATTTCACCACTAATTTTTATGTATTTTAACAATTTAATCAACAAAAATTTTAAATTCTTTTTTTCCACGTATAATATCTATTCATAATTTGTCTCGTGCATCACACAAGGTAAAAATACTAGTTATAATAAAAGCTAACATGTCAATGTTATAATGATTAGAAATATTAAGTAGTTCTAATGAGAGATCAAAATTAAAAAATCTTAATAAAATTTAAAAAATCTATGTTTTTTATAAGAAATATTTTTTCAGTATACTAATTGAATATTAATTATATAATATAATAATAATGACCACTAATAATTAAAGAAAGGAAATGTAACAAAGTTATTAAACAAAAACAATCAATGCGTTAAGTCTAGTATACATCCGAAAACACTAGGCTTATTTGATCTACTTCTAAAACTAATTTGACATTGTAAAAAAAAAAAAAAAATTGACATTACATTTTTATATATCTAAACTTTAAATGGTTTGATATATCTTTTAAGACATTATTTCGGATGAAGAAACATTCATATTAGATCAAACACTCATTTAAAAATTAAAGATTCATTCAAATAAATACGAAATATATCACATATTTATCAAAAACCTTAAGGCAATAGATATATAAATTCACTCACTTATCCATTGCTCAACCTTCATTTTTCTAAATAATGTGAGATTTAAAACTCACACTTGTTTCTCCATACAATCCACACTTGTTTATAAACAATCTTCCCCTCAAGTGTGGGTTCATCGACTATGTTCCTCCTTAAGCAGAAACTCTTTCATCCACATGCTTGAACTGTCGTCGTTGACAAACACCCTCACTCGTCATGGGCACTACAACAAAACACAAAGTATGATCACGATCGTAACATAAATACTTTCGATACAAAAAACCAACCCCTTACTCGAACTAGGCTCTAATACCATTGTTGTTGAGAAAATAATAAAAAATACAAATTTCTGCACATGCTGAAGCATACCTATAAAAGAAGAAAAAAAAGAAAAAAATTTAAAAATAAAACTAAAAAATTATAATTCGAACTTCTAATTTTACAATAACAAAATTACAAACCCTCTCATATAATTGTAATTTTTAAGGAGAAAATTACAAACCCTCTAAACTACAATTTTAAAGAAAAAATTGCAAACCCTTACTCAATTGCAATTTTTGAACGGAAAAGTGTAAACCCTCTCTCAACTATATTTTTTGAACGGAAACATTGCAAATCTTCTCTCAAATACAATTTTGAACGAAAAAAATGCAAACTCTCAATAAACTATTTGTGAACGAAAAAAATTACAAACCACTTCAACAAACTATTTTTGAACGGAAAATAGAAAACCTCACCAATAAACTATTTTTGAACAGAAAAATAAAAAACACTCTCTAAACACACAACTACCTAACTATCTCTATTTATAAAAATAATACTCAAATTCTATTTTCTTCTTACTATCCAATGTGAGACTCAGATGAATATAATATTTGATTCAACAAATGCTCCCTTCATCCAAAGTCTCACATATCTTAACATATTTTCACTTTGTCTTCAATTTTATCTTCAATGCAATCATTATAATCATAATGTTTAGCTACATTTGTAAAATTATTATTCTTTAATCTTTTTGTCTTCTTCCTCCCTTGATCTAAATTTTTTTATTACTATTCTTTTTTTGCTTGATAAGAATTTTTGTGACTCTTCCTCCCTCCCTTGATTAGAACTTTAGCTCTGATTCCACTGTTGTTGGGAAAATAACAAAAAAAAAATTTATGTGCATGCATAAGTATACCCATAAAAGAAGAAAAGAAGCAAAAAAAAATTTTAAAAAAAAATTTATAATTCAACTTCTAATTTTACAATGACAAAATTACAAACTCTCTCATATAATTTCAATTTTTAAGAAGAAAATTACAAACTTTCTCTCAATTGCAACTTTTGAATGAAAAAATTGTATGGAGAAACAAGTGTGAGTTCTAAGTCCCATTGCTTAGAAAAGTTAAAGTTTAACACTTTATAAGTGACTCAACAATTATTCCATATACTTTTTAGTTGAACATTTTGAATGATTCTTTCACCTTTAGGTGAGTGTTTGGCCTAATTTAAATGCTTTTTCCTTGTAATGACTCAAAAGTTAATCTCATTAAAGATGAAATTTAACATATATTCACTAATAAAAATTAAGTCTAATTGAACAAATTAACCACTCATAATATTTTTTCAAACAAATCAAAGTTTAATTTTTAATTAAAAGAAATATTAATATTTAGTACATTATTATATGACCAGTTTGTTTTGACTTTTCTAAAAAACAATTTTTATAATGTATATATTTTTGTGTACAAAAATTTCTAAAAAAACTTTTCATAAAAGTTAAATAAAATTTTTAGTTTGAATAGATATTTTTAAAATATATTTTTAGATATTTTATCAAAAAAAAATTGAATATCAAAATTTTAAAAAATTACTTAATTTTAAAATTATTTTAAATAATTTTTCATAAAAATAATTTTTAAAATACAATTTAAAAAAAAAAGTGATTTCCACTATATCTTAATCTTCAATAATATATGTTTATATTATAAAATGTCAAAATTAGTATTTTAATTCTAAAAAACGAATATTAAAAAACTTGTAATATTATAAAAAAATGAATTTATAAAATTCATTTTAAAAATAAGAAAAAATCCATTATTTTAAAACTAAAATAAACTGGCCATAGCACGCCAAAGGTTTCGATAAATAAAATTGATTTTATAATTATTCCATCTAGAAGAAATTCACTAAAAAAAAATTAATCAATTTTAATTAATATTTTTTAATGTAACTATCTATTCCAAGAAGTCAATTTAAAAATTAAAAAAAAAACAGAAAAAAGTAAAATAAGATTAGCTGGGTGATATCATATCATATGATATCCAGTTGGCAATACAAGTGACGTCGTTTGAATGAATGATAATACCTATCCTAACCGACGCACGCAGCCAGACGCACAAGAAAACAATCATACTCAGTTTATTTGCATTTCCATTTTCTTGCTGTCACTGCACACTCAACACCTCATCCTATTTTTCCGTATCCACCAACGTCACATTTAAACGTTACCCTCTTCAACTTCTAGGGTTTTCTTTTTCTCCATTTCTCTCTCTCTCTCTCTCTCTCTCTCTCTCTCTGCTTCGCGCCGTAACAACTTTTCTATTCATCTCTTCGGTATCAAATCGCTTCAGAAAAAATCCGAGAGTCGCTTCATTCTTCGATAATCACTCGATCTGAGATTTAATATGAAGCGAACGAGGAAATCTAACAGGGTTTCATGGGCTTCTGGTGGTAATCTATGTCAGGTAATTATTTCTTCATTCTTTAACCACAATTTCTATCTCTATTTTCGTTATTTTTTATTTTTTGTTGTTGTTGTTTATTATTAATATTAATTCCGCTGTTTCTATGCTCTCTGCGAATCAATTGATTTCATGCATCTGTTATTTGTTTTTGGTTTGTTTTTTTCTTTTCAATTTTTTATTTACCTGACTTTCTATGCATTCGCAGCTATTGGAGAAACAGAGGACATTGCTCTCGAATGTTTATAATAATAATAATTAATTAAACAAATTAATTTTAATCATAATGGGACCTGATACTTCGCTGAAGTGAATCTGTTATAATAAACTTCATGCATTGTGTTATGTGAGTGTCTCCTCAATATTAATAGTAATTGAAGGAAGACTGTTCTTTTAAGAGATTTATTATCATAAGAATATCTTAAAATTTCTTAAATATGATAAAATCTTAATTACTTTAATGTAGCTTGATTACAGTTAAGTTGGAAATTAAAGAGTATTTAAGATGGTGTTTAAAAAAATAAAACTTTATATCAAATCGTAAGTTTTAATTATTGAAACTTGTGGATATGAGAAATGAGAAATACTTGTTTCAAGGTAGGACATGGGGTTTTTAGAACTTGGGATAAGCAAGTATTGGAGGCGAGTTCGTTAAGGTATAGATCTGAGAAACGAGAAATGCTGTGAGATAGATCCGAGAAATGTTGAAACGAAAGCCCAACTTTGTTGGAAAAGGGTAGCCTTGGGTAAAGAACCTTTTTGCCAATGGGATTTTACACGATTCGACGAGTTGCAAGACTCGTTTTTGAATTCTAAATCATATTGAATAATAAGATTTAAAAACACCAAATGCAACCTGCCTTGCAAAAGGCCTAAAAAAATGGGGCCGACCGAACCATGGTTTTGGTCCTTCCCCACAAAAAAATGAGGTGGGCCTAAAACCTTGGCTTGCCTCGTGAAAAAATGAGAGCAAGGCAAATCATGCACCACCCTAAAGCCTAAACATTTCAAAAATTCACGCCCACCCCCTTTAATGCACGTGCCAGCAAAAACTCGCATTCAAACGGGGCTGGGCGTCCATCGTAGAAAGTGTGGGGCTAAAACCTTGCTTCGATGCGCGAAAAATGCGGGCAAAACAACCATGCTCCGTCAGGCCCATTTTTGCCACCCTTAGTGAACATGTTTTTGAATGAGTGATTGTGTGAAGTCCCTGTTTTGGAAGAAAACACAATAATCAAATAGTAATTAGATAAGGTGTTATTAATGGCACTTTATTTTCTCAGTTACCAATTAAAGTCATTTTCTTTACTGAGTAATGGTGAAGGAAGAAGTATGCAATTTGAGTTGTGAATCTTGCGATAATAACTACGTTCCTAAATGTAAAATCTTTATGATGGCGGGAATGGTATGATGAAATCTCCCTAAAAAAGGCAGAAATCAAAGCATTTGTTGAGAAGGATGGGGATTTCGGCTTTCGTGAGGGCATTTGTTGACTCTCAAACTTGAGAGTTGATGCATGCTCATGGTATTTCGTAGGCTCGACTAGTGAACTCTTACGAGTTGACCTAAAATTTCATGATGCCAACATTATATATTTTTACGAGGATAATAAACATATTGTTGTGTTGTGCATAGACAAAGACATTGTTAGTGAAATAGTGTCGTTTAGCAAGTTTTGGATCTAATTTTGTGAATCTCTCAAACTTTCTCACTCATGCATAAACTTGTGTGATTATGAACAAGTTTGAAACTTCAAATGAATCTATACGGGTTAAACCGAGTTTTAAAAAAAAACGAGTTGTATGCAATTCGACTGTATTTTTGTACTTAGAAATGTAAAACTCACGAGTCTATGCTCAATTTGAGATGTTGGTATTCATGTGTGACAAGCGACATAATGGTGAATTTGATATTGTATTGTGAGAAATAAATGCAATTTGATCGCAAACATTACAAAACAAGTCTTGTGTATAGTGTAGGGAAACAAAAATGAAGTACAAGAAAAGCAACAATGTTTATTAGGGATTATAATTTATAGTATCCATTAAATTGCCTTGATAGTGTCATTAATTGAAAGATACATATTCAAAGCATTATATCATGCCAAAGACTTTTTCCTTATATAAGTTATAGTTGGTGTTCAATAAGCTAGTTCAGTGAACAGTAAAAGTAGAACAAAAAAGGACCAAGTAAAAAAATAGTAATTATTTCCATTAGAAATAGTAGAGCTAAAGAGAAACCAAAAGTAAATGTCTTGTTCTGTTTTACTAAAGTGTGACTGACTCTAATTGAAGGATAGCAACCAATGATTAGGAGAATTCTTATTATCACTTAGATTTTTGGTTAAGTAGTTATGATTTATGAATGATAAGTTATAGTAGTTAAATATATACAATTTTTTTTATGTTTGAAATATTTGGTTATTTTACTTAAGATTAGTAGCTGAATTATATCAGCAGTGTCACTTTTGATCAATTTTATAGAAATTCTTTGTAGATTATAGCTCTCTTCTTATGATAATGATGCTTTGCATGCCGGAAACTTTGGAGGTCTTTAACTTAACATGGATTTTATGGAATTTATATTATGCTCAATTGGGCAAGAATTATTTTCTCCATCTGATTATTGCTTTAGAGTTTTTTTGTTAAGTTAAGTTAGGTTATTAATTGCATGCCATTAATATCCTAGAACGTTCAAACCTTGATTTAATTTAGGATCCGGAAGGGAGTGAAGTTGTACATTGCGGGATCATTACATGCCTTATGGAAAATTTGAAATACACACGCACACACCCACTTGTGTGTGTATGTATATAGATACATTTTTTATTAACGTGCAATATAGGCAAATACTAAACACCATCTTTTTAATAATCAAGAAGAGATTCATAGGAGATAACATATTGAGATACTCGTGGGTGATGGATGCTCATAATTGGGCTTAGGGTTTCCATCACACCCAGAAATTTAGGTTTTTAGCTACCGGGTGTGGATGAACCTGCCCCGCAACCAGTTGCTGATAGAGCCCTTGGTTTGCCGAAAATCGTATAATTCCAGATTGCAGAAAATCTATTGGGACCCACAATCGATTTCTGATTAAGCCCCTGGATTACCGAAAACTATCCGATTTTACTGTACCAAAGTTCAAGTATTGTGATTGTGCGTCAAACTGTGGTTGAGATCCCCAAACTCGAAGATCGTAAAATCATTTGATCATACTAGATCGAGATTTTGACTACTATGTTTATATGGAAACACTAATTAAATAGTTGTCATTGGAACTGCTAATTTCTATTGTCTGTGTTCACATTTGAGGAAAGACTTAGATGCTGGTTGTTTTAATATTGTTACCAGTATTTGACAATTTTGTGATGTATTTAACATCTGTATACAGTGCTCACAATAGGAAAAGTTATTGAAAACCTGGGTAATTTAGCTTTATATGGTGAAAGCATTTTTCATTATAAATGATCAGGATTAGCATTCAAGCAAATGTTCTAATTCTGTTATTGATAAGTACCTGGCTAAAAGCATAAAGGATAATTACCTGATTATGGAAGAAAGCATAACTCTGAAATAAACCCATGCGTACTAAGTTTTGACACAAGACATGGTTGTTTTGGTGTTATGTGCATCTTCCGTTAATGTCATTATTTATGATGAAATTTATCAAGGGATTGGACGGTTGGGAATTCGAAGGTTGAGAGATAAAAAAAAATCCAAACTTCAAACTAAGTACATACATGGGTGAAGAAACTTATATAAATTGCATATGTTGCAATTTATGAGTAGGAAAATTGGAATTAGGAGTTAAATTAGTGATATAAATTGCATTTGTTGCAATTAATGAGCCGAGTTTAAACATTCCACATAAACTATGTTCGTGATATGTAAAGAAAAGTGTCGAATGGGTCGGTTGGAACTTATGTAATTTTTTAAAAAAGGTCTCTGATTATGTGCTGACACAAGTTGGAGTTTTGGGGAGTATCAAATACGTCATGGGAGGCAAAATGCTGTATGGTGCATCATAGCATATACCCTGAGTTGCTATTATTCTCTCTCCTTTCTCTCTTAAACAGCACAAAGCCCCCAAACTCCTTTCTCCTTTGCTCTTTTAGTACCCATGACATGGCATTGCCAACAACAACTCACGTGTTTCTGTTCTCTGCTTTACCTTCTGCAGCAGTAACACTTTTTAAAATGTGTATCTGGACCTCTGCTCTTCACATCTCCAATTTGGTCTGTTATGTTGAGGCTTATAAATAATAATATTTGATAGCCATGAATTTCTTATCTGAGGATTTATAGAGAGTTGTAATGTATAAATATTTCTGTCACTGCTTGTTATGTAGTCTTGTATACTTCTATTCAAACCTATTTGTGATGCACACTTTCTCTTTTAGCACTCAGTGGTTTATTTGACCTGACAGGTAAAATTGTTCTTGTCTGACGATTTCCCGTCAAAAGTTGGCCTGGTATCGCACGATAATCTTGAAGCAAAATCATCGTCATTGTTGTGTTCTAGTGCTAGTGATTCTATTGATTTACCTCCTGGATTTGAAAGTAGTCATTTCCTGAACCAATCCAAGGTTGAATTCTCCCACATTCCAAAGATAAAATGGGAATGCCCTCTACCGGTGATTCTCTACTGCATGCTATTTAGTCTCTGTTGTTAATATGTATTTCACATTGTAATTTTTTTGTTAATCTATTATGTTTCATACTTTGCTTTCTTTAACTGGTTGTTTTGGATTCTTTTGTCACTATGTTGATTTCTTCCATACAGTTTGTTTTCAGTTCTCGTTGGCTAGTTGCAGCTGGTGAACAAAGTAGGGAGAAAGATGTTCAGAAGCTGAGAGAAATAAGAGTCCTTGAAGCAGTTTATCCCAGACTCTCTGCCATTCCTCCTAGGTAAAGTGTTGCATTACTTAAGAAAGCCTTGTGTTGTTTCATTTTCTCTTGTTAGTAACATTTGTTGGCTGGCGTTTGGGTATGTAGCCCTTCTGTTTCTCTGGATGTAGAAGAAGAAGATTATGATGGTAGCATTACTCCTCTGATCCCTATCATTCCCATTGAGGAGGAGGAAGAGTCCATGGCTAATTCGCCTGAACCGGAGGCAGCAGCGAACCCTCACCCCAATGTTCAGTCTCCGAATTTGCATCAATATATGTCAGCAACAACTTCCATTAATTCAGACCGTAACACCTCTGGCACTGTCTCCCCGGCTGCCGGTTTATTGCCTTTCGCCGGGGTATCTTCTGGTTTGGAAGCTGATGTAGTGGCAGCCTCTGATGCTGTGGCAGCCATCCTTAAGAATAATGAGCACGGAGGCTTAATTGATATGGATCTACTAGTTAAAATATTTAGTGACCCAAAAATGATCGAGAATTTGATCAATGAAGCCTCCAATTTAGGTGCATCCTCAAATGCAGTGTCTTTACCCACTTCTTCTGGTTTGAAATCTTCTATTCCATCATCTCCTTTTTTTACACCTACACCTGACATGTCAGCTTCTAGGAATACACACATTAGTTCTGTGGGTTTTTCTGGGTTCAATCCTGCAAGTCCATCAGTTTCATCTTTGAATTCTACATCTGGTAAGCCAGCAACTCCTTTTACTCCTTCAATTCCGTCATATTCTACGGTGACTTCTCCACATGACAGGCACGCAACTGCATCTGTTCCATTTTCTAGGCCGGCGGTGTCTGGTCAACCAGTATCCCCCTCTGTTTTTGTGCCTACACCTACATCTGCACCTCATATGCCCAGACCCGTCGACAATAATTTTCACATGTCAAATGGAATTCCAACTGCGTTAAGTTCCCAGCCTCAGCCAGATTCATTTCTGGCATCTGGGGCGAAGCGACCCGCGTCTTTTGCTTTTGCTTCCATGTCTTCTAGTGAACCAAGCACAGCTCCATTGCCTCCTACAGGGAACATGCATACTGTTTTCAACCATGGACAAACCACTGCTAGAACAAAGCCGTATCAAACTAGTACAGGTTCAGTATCTGCTGTAAAGGATGCCAACTATTATAAAAACCTCATTAGGCAACATGGTGCAGACGGACAAGATAAGCCGGACCCTCAAATAGGTAACCGTCATAGTAACTTCCCAGATATAAATTTGGGACATAATAATCAAGGGGAAGTGAAACACAAAAGCAAGAAACCATGTATTTATTTTAATAGCCAAAGGGGGTGCAGGAATGGTGTCAGTTGCTCCTTTCAGCACGATGTTTCACCTCAGTCGGGGGGAGCTGGTAACTTCCCAGGGCCGAAGAATCCTAAAAGTTTTAAAATGTGATCAGAAATTTAGGGGAGAGTGTAATTCTAAGTGGCATTGGCATTTTTCAATGGTAAAAAACTTGAAACTTTTTCTTAACCATGTAAAACAGAGTAGGTTGAAACAGAAGAGGGAGTGAGATGATAAGTGCAACATTGCCAAGTTTTTGACGTTGTGGCCTGGAATTGGTGGCCGGATTTTGGTATGTTTGTGGGCCGTACATTATGGTCCAAGGTTTTGAGACTTTTGACAGGTTATGTCGGTTCCTTGTATCGATCGACATCTAGTGTTTTAGACAAATTGGTATTTTCTTCTATTTTGCAGTTTGATGAGATCTGTGCAGCCTGGATCCAATGAAGTGGTGGTCCATCCATGCAGTACAATGGCCAATGGGTATCCATCCATAATTTTTTCATTGCACAATAAGAAAAAATATATTGAAAAAATAAAAATAAAAACATGGCAAGATTTTAATCATGTTAAAGATAACTATAATTTTTATACTGATCAAGTAAAAATAATAATATGGATAAATAATTTTAATATTATTCAAGTTTTTGAAAATTTACTGCAGTAACAGGAAAGTACTACTAAACAATATAAAATTTAGTAGTGTTTGAATGCAAAACAAGTGATACAAGATTGAATTATGAATAAATATTTTTCACTCTTTGGTAGTGAAATAGAATTATAAGGTATTGTTAGTGAATAAACAAAAGATGGAAAAAAAAATGCAAACATAAAAAGGTTTTGAAAAAACTAATATTGAATAAAAAACTGTAACGTTAAGAGAACAAGTTTAAAATTAAAAATAAAATGATAAAAGATTAAATTTATTAATGTAAAATGCATGAAAAATAAAAGTTAACACTGAAAGGTTATTTTTAGAATTTTGTTATGATTTGAATGCTAATTTCTTTTATGATAATTTTCACATTTTTAGGATTTTATTATGATTTGGCTGTTAACTTCTTCTAAGATGATTTTAAACTTAATTAGTTATTCTTGTTGTCTTTAATTATAAGATTTTTAAAATTTCGTGGTTGTTGATTCTTCACAAAATTCTACACATTAACGATTTCATAAACAGAAATATTTTAATATAATTGATCGTTATAAAACAAAAATTATTTTCTGTAGTATAATGTCATACTTTTTAACAAATTGAATTTTATTATTTTTCCCCTTAATATTCGTGAAATTTATAAGAGGGTCTTACAATAAAAAGACAAATTAATTGTATTTTTAGTCTTCAGAATGAAAAATTTGTTGGTCAATAATTGATAATTGTCAATATTATACTGTTGTGGACATTTAGTTCTATATAACAGTAAAAATAGTTGCATGAAAATAGAACATGACAAATAAAATTAGAGAAAAAGATACTTGTCTTTTTATGTCATATTTTTTAAAATAGATTTTTAATGGAAATGTCAAAGTGAGTGTCATTCATGATATTGATTCCACATTTTGTTTGTAACTCAAATAAATAAACGATAATAATATGTTTCTTCCCATTTTATACCTAAAAAATGAAAACTAATAATAGAAATATTACCTAAGTCATAGATGCAAATATTGATTCCACATCTCCACCAATAAAATAAATAACTTAAGCACGTGCCTTAAAATGAACAATCATGCATGCATGGTGAATATTTAAGTTGTGAGAAATATAAAATATTCGATAAAACATTCGAGCTCATGATAGCTTGATAAATTCAATATCAATGTATTTTCACGCACAATCGTAGTTTGTTTGTACGCGATACAAGACCAAAATCTAGACCTCTCTATATTCTATTGTATACTGAAAGATAAATGTATTCATTGTGTACAAAAAATGTTTATTTTAGCTGTAAAAACATGTTTCTACGTTAATGTTTCAAAGTGGCTCATGTATGGTCTGGTTGTCCATGACTATGATCATGAGTTGGTCGTGTAATAGTAAAAATTTGATCTTATACTCATATTTGAAATAGTTTTACTGAATCCATCCAATTTATTCACAAGATGTATGAAACATTTCTGCGATTCTTTTTAATGGTCTCTACAGAATCCATCTGATTTATTCACAAGATATATGAAGCATTTTTGCGTGTATTTAATAGTTTCCCTCCCCTAACTAATGCGAAACAATTCTTACTCTTGCGTGAGAGTATTAGTTTCGAAACGTTTAACCTTGATTGTCCTTCCAAGAAGTTTCATTATTTGAGGAATCTTTCAATGATATAATAATATTCGTCAACTTCATAGTTCATAGGAGGAGATTCAAATATTTTTAAGTCTTCCATTGACATAGTTCATTTCTTTGAAAGTCAATGCTCTATTATTCAATGGGACTGGTCTTCCATCATTAGTGGTGAAGGGCCTTTATTAGAAAATTCGAAAATATCTTTGAAAAAAATATACTAAAGTTAACCGTACCATTTCTATACATACCAAAATATTTTGTAAGTGAACCGTTTTGCTAATAATTAATACAGAAATTAATCTACATATAGATAGAAAGGTGAGTCAGTTGGTTAAGTTTTAGACTAATTTATAACACATTTTGAATTTATGATAATATGTTTATTTTACAACTCAAATGAAGTTGACTTCCATATTAATTTTCAAGAAAGTGAATTATTCTTTTGGATATTATTTTTATTATAAATTTGATATATTTTAATAAATCTTATATAATTCAATCAAACATACACTGATAGTAAAATACAATATATAATTCAATCAAATCATTTCAATACTACAAATAAGTGATATTATCTTGGTTGGTGTTCTGGACTGGGCCCGACAGGCCCAAAAGCATTGCTAAGGCCCAGTCCAAAGGGACTTACTGAGGACCACGCCGGGCAAAGGGGTCACATCCGTGCCCGACATCCTGATGTCCAGCTCGACATCCCGATGTCCAATTCCACGTGGTGATGTCCAGCTCCACCTCCTGCCGTCCAGCTCCACGTCTTGACGTCCAGCTCGACACCCTGCCGTCCAGCTCCACGTCTCGACGTCCAGCTCGACGTTGTCTCGAGCATCCCAACTAGGGCAGACTCAGTCCACCGTTCTCCCAACGATACTCCGGAAAGACCGCGTCTTCGTCCGCCCGCACTTCACGCAGAACATCCAGGAAGGGGACCACGTGCGGGTCCCCACTACCCACGTAGAACCTGGCAGTTCCTCCATTGGGCCAAATCCGCCCGGCCCAATGAAGGAACCTTGGCCCAGCGCTGGGGGCTATAAATACCCTCTGTTTCCAGAGGGTCAGGTATTCATCATTCTAACCTCAACTTACTATTATCTGCTCGTACTCCTACTTATTTCAGCATCGGAGTGCCTTGCAGGTACCCCCCCCCCACCTCGTTCAAAAAAGCTTTCTGCTCGGAGCCAGCCGTGACGGTCCATTTCTGATCAGGTCAGATCAGTGGCGCCGTCTGTGGGAATCAGCTTCCCCGTCTAACGAACAATTCTAAGGACCAAAGCTCAATTCAACTACCTGTCATGGCTGACCCAGCTCACGACGAGCAGCCCGTCCGTGTCGCCGACACTAATAACGGCCCCGCGGACAAGAATGGACACCTCGACAATCCCGGTGATCCCGGCCACAATGCCATCCCTGTGACAACCGCCCCCGGACCTTCCTCCCGCAGGGACGGGAATACTGCATCATCCTCGACGACCCCTCCAGCACTCGAGGACGACCCAGTAGCTCTCACCCATCACAGAGTTGCCCGGTTCTTTGAAGTCCCAGTTCCTGCCGGGGCAGATGCCACGACTCAGGCACTGTTCGCGGCCATCAACCAGACAAATTATCTCATATTCGCCCAAGGAGAAAGACTAAGGGCACTTGAAAATGATCGACGACTCCCGAGGAGGCATCGGAGGCCACCTTCTCCACCTCCTCGGGTCGAAGAAGTTCGACACCCTTCTCCCCCGCGGAGACACTACAGGGAGAACTCCAGGAGCCCCTCTCCCCGACCAAAGCAGAGGCGGCCCAACTATGAGAGACAGCCCGCTATTCCAGCCGGAGAACCCAGTCGCGACCCATCCAGGCACGACAAGAGGCACGCCGGAGACGGGCGTGTGACCTTCAACCACCGAGCATCACGCTCGAGGGAATCTCAGCACGATCATCGTGCCAGACATAACTACCGGACCCCTTCTCTTTCTCCGGAGAGGAGCGACGAGGACGACCCCCGCGGTCCCCTGTCGCAGGCCATCATGGATGCACCTATCCCCCCGGGCATGGAGAAGCCCCCGCATCTGAAGGAGTATGATGGAGTAGCGGACCCGGTCGACCACATTGACGGGTTCGAAGCCATGCTCCACTATCATAATGTCGGGGGGCCCATCAAATGCCGCATTTTCCCCACAACTCTCAGGAAGGCGGCCATGGACTGGTATAAAGGGCTCGCCCCGGGCTCAATTACATCGTGGCGGAACCTGAAGAACCAGTTCATCAGTTCCTTCACAGCTTCTCGGCGCCACCCGAAGACCGAGGCGGCCCTCGAGGCCATCATCCAAAGACAGGATGAAACCTTGAGGGAATTCATCAACCGCTTCAACCGGGAAGCAATACAGGTCCCCTGTGCGGACCATATGAAAAGATATTTGCTGGAGAGGGGCCTCCACCCCGGCACAGAATTCAGAAAAGCTGTGGGTATTGAGCCACCTCAAACTTTTGACGCCCTCCTCGACAAAGCCCGGGCATACATGGACTACGAGGAGAGAGAAGCTGCCAACAGGGCCCGAGACTCCAGGGCTCGCGCTCCCAATCATAGCAGCAGCTCGCGACAAGACCCTCCTCCCCGACGTACCGGGGAGAAAAGGAAAGAAGACCGACCCCGGGAGGTCCGGGAACAAAGGGACCCCTCGGGCCGTTTCACCGAGTACACTCCGCTCACGGCTTCCCGCGAGCGTATTTTGGCGGAGTGTGCTAGCACAGATTTCAGAGACGGTGGCGTCAAGCGTCCCCGACCTGCTCCTGCCAAGCCAGGGGAAGACAAAAATAAGTACTGTCAATA